CTGTCAGTGCTCTCTCAGCCCCACCTACCTCACAGGGTGTGGGGAGGAGAAGGGAAAGGAGTTTGTAAGCTGCTCTTAGACTCCGAGTGAAGGGCGAGGTGTAAATCCAATCTCCTCTCCACCTCCAGATCTCAGCCTCCTGCTCTAGCCACTGCTCCAGGCTGTCTCTCAGCTGTGGGGGCCGACCCCGAGTATGCCAAACAACAGTTCAGTCCCATCCTTTTGATTATCAGCCACATTTATGTTCGCGTAATTTAGTCTCCCTAAAGGTAAAGGTAAAGGTTCCCTTGCTCGAAAGCCAGTCGAGTCCGACTCTAGGGTTGCGGTGCTCATCTCCGTTTCAAAGCCGAAGAGCCAGCGCTGTCCGAAGACATTTCCATGGTCATGTGGCCGGCATGACTAAACACCAAGGCGCACGGAACGCTGTTCCCTTCCCACCAAAGCGGTCCCTATTTATCGACTTGTGATTCCTTGCTTTCGAACTGCTAGGTTGGCAGGAGCTGGAACTAGAGACGGGAGCTCACTCCGTCATGCGACACCCGGGTCTCGAACTGCTGAACTACTGACCTTCCACAGCCTGCAGTTCAGCGTCTTAACCACTTGAGCCACCGCAGCTCCCTATTGGACGATAAAAATCACTGTTCCGTGGCCTTCTCTGGCAATTAGCGCTGCCTCCCTTTTGTACTAATTAGTGCTCCACGTAGGGTCGTATATTAGCAAGCCGCTGGCCTCACTTCCTCGGGAGAGGCGCGGGAAGAGAGAAGTGGCGGAAGGGCGTCTCACCTGGGGGGTACAGCACCGCTCTCTCCCAGGACGGGGCTCCGCAGCTCCGCAAGTCCGAGTCCAGGCTTTCGTCACTCTCCTCGGGCTGGTTGAGAGGCCGGGAGGGGTAGGAGCTCTCCTGGGGGCCACAGGGCGGTCCTGCCGGCGGCAAAGGGGAACCCTCTTCCCTGTACAGGGACAGCTGCAGCTGCTCCAGTTCTTCGTAGACCTGCGGGGAACAGGCGGGAGGGGGTAGGAGCTGAGCCCTCTGCTGATCCTGCCCGAGGCTGCGGTGGTTCTCCCGCAGGGCCTGGAGGGGGTGCAAAGGGCCCTCACGTCACAGCCCGCTTAGGGCAACCCCTCGTGGGGTTTTCGAGGCAAGAGACGTGCAGAGGTGGTTTGGCCATCGATTGCCTCTGCGTGGCAATCCCTGGACTTCCTTGGCGGTCTCCCATCCATGAACAAACCAGGGCCATCCCTGCTTCTGAGATATGTGGAGATCAGGCTGGCCTGGGCCATCCAGGTCAAGGCAAGAGACAAACAGAGGTGGTTTGCCATTGCCTGCCTCTGCGTAGCAACCCTGGACTTGTTTGGTGGTGTCCCCTCCAAGGACTAGCCACGGCCGACCCTGCTTGGCTTCCAGGATCTGAGGAGATCAGGCTGGCCTGGGCCATCCAGGTCAAGGCAAGAGACAAACAGAGGTCACTTGCCATTGCCTGCCTCTGCGTAGCAACCCTGGACTTGTTTGGTGGTGTCTCCTCCAAGTACCAGCCAGGGCCGACCCTGCTTGGCTTCCAGGATCTGAGGAAATCAGCTTAGCCTGAGCCATCCAGGTCAAGACACGAGACAAATAAGAGGTCGTTTGCCATTGCCTGCCTCTGCGTAGCAACCCTGGACTTCTTTGGTGGTGTCCCCTCCAAGGACTAGCCACGGCTGACTTTGCTTGGCTTGACACAATGAGGCAAGCCTGGGCCATCCTGGCCAGAGCAAGAGATGAACAGAAGTGGTCTGTCATCGCCTGCCTCTGCACAGCGACCCTGGACTCCCTTGGTGGTCTCCTGTCCACGAACTAACCAGGGCCAACCAGTGTTCCCTCTAAACTTCCCTCAGGAAGGAGGGGCTCCAGAGGAAACTAATTTAAGCAGTAGCCAAATCGCTCACCCCCAACTTTCATGCCAGTAGCTCACAAACCAGAATTTTTGCTCACAAGACTCCACAGCTTAGAGGGAGCGTTGGGGCCGACCCTGCTTAGCTCCCGAGATCTGAAGAGATCAGGCTCGCCTGGGCCATCCAGACTGAGGCAAGGAATGCCCAGAGGTGGTTTGCCACTGCCTGCCTCTGCATGGAAACCTGGGCTTCGTTGGTGGTCTCCCTTCCAAGGACTAACCAGGACCGAACCTGCTGAGCTTCCAACATCTGATGAAATCAGGCAAGCATGGGCCGTCCACGTCAAGGCAAGAGATGTCATAAGAACATAAGAGACGCCAATGTTGGATCAGGCCAAAGGCCCATCCAGTCCAACACTCTGTGCCACACAGTGGCCAGAAATACCAGTGCCATCAGGAGGTCCAGCAGTGGGGCCAGGACATTAGAAGCCCACTGAAGCACCAAGAAGCATCACTTGCCCCAGAGTCCCTATCTATACCTTGTGGCTAATAGCCACTGATGGACCTCTGCTCCATATGCTTATCTAATTCCCTTTTGAAGCCGTCCATGCCTGTAGCCGCCACCACTTCCTGTGGCAGTGAATTCCATGTGTTAATCACTCTTTGGGTGAAGAAGTACTTCCTTTTATCCGTTCTAACCCGACCTATCAGCAATTTCATGGAGTGCCCACGGGTTCTTGTATTGTGAGAAAGGGAGAAAAGTACCTCTTTCTCTACCTGCTCTTTCCCATGCATAATCTTATAAACCTCAATCATGTCACCCCTCAGATGTCCAGAGGTGATTGGCCATCGCCTGCCTCTACACGACAACCCT